CCACTAACTCGTCATCGGCAAACATCAACCTACCAATGTCAACGGCAATGTGAACGCGAACTCGGTGACGCAAGCGCGGCAGCAACAGCGGCTGCAGCAGCAGCGGCCGCCGCCGCCGCCACCGCCACCGCCGCGGCCGCCGCCGTGGCGATCAACAGCTACAAGGTGCAGGAGTACAAGGATTACTCGCAGCCGCTCCACGTGGACTGCAGTGTCGAGTACGAATTGCCGAGCCAGGCAAAGCCGCCGCCCGGCGGCGGCGAGCCCCTCCTAATGATCCATCCGTGCTACTATCGACGTGCCGAGCGCGAGAGGAGGAGCCCCTTTGTCAATAATCTGCCGCCGCCGGCGGCGCCGGCGACGGCGCCCATGTCCGCCTCCCGCAGGAACGGCCGCAGGAGCGCGGCGACGGCGTCCACCGCGGCCGCCGGTGTCACGGCGACAGCCGCCACCGCGACTGCCTCTTCGACGACGACAACGGCCGTCGCGCAACAGCCGAAAAACACCAATGGCAATGTCGTTTCCTCGAACGTCGTTTCCTCGAACGTCGTATCCACCACCGCTGCCGTGTCGCCGACGACGTCCACCATCGCGTCGTCCTCGGTCGCCGCGGCGGTGGTGGCCACCGCGGACTCCGGCAACGGTCTCATATCCACGACCGACCAGATGTCCGCTGTCACCATGGCAGCCTCGTATCGCGCGGCACTCAATGTCGCGGCCACGCTGTCTCAGCAGCAGACACAGCAACAGCCACAACGACGGCATCATCCCCAACAGCAACAGCAACAGCAGCCGCAGCCGCAGCAGCAGCAGCAGCAGCAGCAGCAGCAGCAGCAGCAGCAGCAGCAGCAGCCGAGTCACCATCATCATCATCACCATCATCACAGGAATCACACTCATCAACAGCAACCGCAACATCATACCCAGCAGCAACCGCAGCAACGATCCTTAACACCAACGGCTTCCGGCGGCGCCGAACTCATCTCCGCCGACGAGAAGGCGGTCATATCAGGTATTTATCAACATTACTTCCGCGCCATGCGCGCCCACAATCATCAACACCGCCAGCAGCAGCAGCAGCAGCAGCAGCAGCAGCCGCCGCAGCATCGTACCACCGCTCATCAGCTCCATCAGCACCAACCACACCAAAGCGACCGAAGTTCCTCCTCTTCGTCGTCGGTCACGTCCGCGACGTCCGCGTCGATCTCTGGTATCTTACGGCAAACGTATCAGCAAGCGTACAGCAACGTCGCGGCGGTCACGTGCTCGAGCGCGAGCTCGAACGGTCATCATCGCGCCACGTCGGTCTCGGCGGCAATCGCTCATCATCCCTACAGACGGCCGTCGACGTTGCTGTCGCGGGCTGCCTCGCATATCGGACAGCAGGCCTCCTCTTCCTCGTCTTCCTCCTCCTCCTCTTCGTCCATATTCGGTGCTTCCAACGGCGTCTCCGCCGCGGCCGGCGTCTCTAGCGTCTACGCCAGCACGATACACAGGCATCACGCGACCTCCCTGCACGCTCTTCATCAGGCCGCCGCCGGCTTCTACGAGACGCCGAGCTATCACGCCCTCCTGCCCCAAAGTTAGACGACGATAGCCGGCAGACCGGGCGGTTTCGCCATGTTGAATGTCTACGCGTAACAACCGCAGCAACCATCGCGACGAACATTGTATTATTATGAATCGAAGCGAACGCGCATTGTGAATCTCGAGCGAGCAATCGCAGAGAGAGAGAGAGAGAGAGAGAGTCTTTCTTCTTCCGCTGCTTCTTTATCAAGTCTCGCCCGATGATCGGAAAGATTTGATAAGGGAGAAGGCAAAGTCGTAAAGCAAAATCTCTAGAAGAAATGCGTCTGAGTTAAGAAGGAATTAGCGATTTTTAGATGGCTTTTACGTGACATTTTAATATACGCGCGTTCGCTCGTAAAGCGCGGTTCATAATGGTACTATGGGAAACCGTTGTCGAGCATCATTCAGCGGCCGTCAAATTTGACACCGAACGCTTGTTGCGACAATTGTCGACTACTGTTGCAACCGAAAACCTCTGATGTAAATTGCGCACCAACTGTCACTTTGCGCGTAGACAATGCATTAGTCGCCGCGGGCGACGCTTATAATGGCTGTGCTCTGTCCTCCTTCTTTTCTTTCCGAAATCGCAATCTTCGAAAAAAAAAAAAAAACTGATTATTTAATAAGCGACTTATCGTCATTTTACGATATTGTTCTTCTATGTATGTGTGTCGGAGACAGTTCGGCCAATATCGGCACTGATATCGGCCGTTATTGTTTCAAGCCTTCGTTTTTCTACGCGTAACAATTTATATAGTTTGTAGAGCCACGCGGAAACAAGTTCGCGTAAAAGTCACGTAGACAATAGACGCGGGGCAGGCATGTAGCGGCTTTACTTCATAAACGTTTATAAACATTTATTACTTTATAAAATGCACATAATTTATAGCGAATCAAACGCTTATGAACGTTTATGAAAGAATAGTCCGTAGGATGGCGAGAGGACAGGTCTTCCCACTGAAAATGCGCTACGGCGAAATAGTTGGTCGATAAAAATTCGAAGGTACGCTAAAGACTCAGGGATATAAAGAGTCCTTTTGCGCATAGTCGATAATCTAAAGTAATTTCCTTCGACCCTTTCCGTCGACCTAAACCGACCCTAAAAGAGTCAGGCTATGATGTAGGTAAATGGATGTCGTTGACCGCGATATGCGTCGTTTAGCAGTTGCCTTTTACCGCCGGTCTTTTTTTTTTTCTTCTCTTTTTTTTTAACATCCTCCTGCTGAAATACTACGTACCGAGCGACAGTTCGGACGTGCTATAGATAAACGCAGCGTAGACACTCAATACTAATTAGACTCGCTGACGACGACAAATGTTCTCGCGACCGAAACGGCGCGAGCAAAATTCGCAGGCGCATTCACGACGACGACGACGACGACGACGAGGACGGCATAAATGGCGGACGCCTCCTTCGCCAGGACGCGCGGCTATATCGAATTATGATCCGATGTTGCTCGCCCTCGGTGTGGATTTACCTTAATCCCACGAGAGAGGCCGTGTCTGTTCTCTCTCTCTTTCTCTCTCTCTCTTTTCATATATCTCTCTCGTGCGCCCTGTTCCGCGCGACTTATCATCTCGATCGTTAAAAGTGCATGCGGGTGGGTCTATAGCGCGCATAGTCGGCATAGGGTACATCTGTCTCCCCGCGCGCATCTACGGGGTGTCCCGAAAGCAAAATCGCCGTACCGATCTCTTTGATGTTAAAACTCTCATTCGGAAGTTCGATTAACGCCAAATCGCTAATTCCTCTCGGTGTATTATTTTTTATCCACAAAGAATATATCTTTGATGAAGAGGGGGGATGTCGCGGAGGAGCGCGCGTATCGGATGCGGCACTGATTAAACGAAGGTAAGCGCTCGGCAAATTGCAGTTTGCATTGAACGACATTGCAAGGTGCCGAAAGTGCGAATAAGGAACCCTAGACGCGCCTCTCGTGCTTTTTTTATCGCTCACCGATTAAATTTCCCCCTTGAAAAGGATCGAACGCCACTCTCCGCAAGCATTTAATTTTAATCGTAAATTAATCAAGTCTCGAGTTAACATTCCGCATCGGTGCCGTCCGAATTTCCGACGACCACTCGAAATTAATTAAAACGCTTCGCGAATGTATTTGCCGAGGTCCGGCTTCGCCGAAGTCGTTTTCGACTTCGACGAGTTCGAGATAACTCAAAGACGGGGACACTCCCGTGCTTCACCCGCCGCCGGTTCTTCCCTCCCGAGAACCTCCGCTCCGCTCTTTCGGCATGCGTAAGCGGCTCGAACTCGAGGAAGTTTCGAATCGCGCGGAACACCCCGTATACCGCCATCGTCGGCACAACGATCGTACGTGCCGTGTTCGTTGTTGACGGTGAGCGGGTGGCCGGACGGACGGGCACCGAATAAACACACGTCGTGTGCACACACACGCACACACGCGCGCATGCACACGCGCGTAAACATACACGCGCGCACACGCGTATCCGTACTACACACACGCGGCGGACTGATGGATGGACATATGGGTGGGACGAAGGGGGAGAGAGCAGTTGAAATGGTCGTCGTTCGTATACACACGTCAGGCGTTCCACCTGCAATGAGCACGACTTCAGGTAGAGAAAAGAAATCCCCGTTTGCTTAGGGCCGCATTAGCATCCACTATGTTCTGGCAGCTACGTTTTCGGGTCCTCTCCCCCCTTCCCCCTTCCCCTCCCCATCGGGCCCTCGAGAGCTCGTGAGATGTCGTCTCCCTCTCTCCCTCAACCGCTCCGCCAGCCTCCACGGCTCCTCACTCATTCCTCCATTATTCAGTATCCTCAAGAAGGATAGAGAACGTCGCCGGTATTCTCGAAGGATGGACGGTGCGCTCGATTTCGGAGCTCTCTGGTTTCACCGCGGGCGTCGTGGATTCGCGACTTCATCGGGTCCAAGGAGTCCTCGGTCCTCGGAGAGAGTTCTCCACTCTCTCTCAAGATAAATTTGTTCTACCCTCATAAGGCGCGCGGAGAAAGATTAGAAAAATTCTTTTTATCTGGAGAGACGGGAAAGATATATACTAGATCTCATTGCTTTTTGATCCCACGGATCCGCGATTACGCACGGTGTCCCCGAAGCCGCAGATCATTGTGTGAGTCGCAGTTCTGTGAAGCCACAGATTCTTAAGTACGGGATGTGTGGAAGAAGCGTCAGATGTCGACCGCAGTTACTAGAATCCTGCGAAGGGCTGGAGGAGGTTCTAGTTAGAGAACGAATTAAAAGTGTGAAGGATAGAGAGATAAATTCTTTATATATTTATTTCGCGTTTTTCTATCGCGTTTTAAATCTTCTCATAAATGATAAAATAACTTCATCTTCTTATAGAAAAATTCATTTTATGTATAGAGCAAAATATGTCTTCATTTCAATATCCGGTTTCTATAAAAAATTATTTATAATTTGAAAATTTATTTGGGCACAAGTTATATTATTATATTATGTAACTTAAAGAGCAAAATTAGCTTAAAAAGTAAAAGCTTTATTTATTATAAATTTAATTATTTGTTATAGATTATGGACATAATAAAGTAAAACTTGAAAATAAGAGCTATTAAATTAGATTTATAATTTATGAAATTAATTATATTGAATAAATAATTTATTTTCAATTTACTAAATTGATTATATTTTAATATTAAATTTATAAAATTTCACTTTGAATACATTTTATTAATTACTTTCCACGGAATCTGGGATGTCAGATGTATTTCTCTAACACACAGTATTCAATATACTCCGTATTTTCACACGAGAACGCTCGTATGGATAAGAAATGTGAAGGAAAATAATAAAGACGCGCACCGTGAACATGATACAATAAAATAAATCCGAATTCGTAGTTTGGAGTTCCGGGACGTCTCTCGATCCTTTGCCGAGATTTATTAGTGCCATGATTCATCGTCTGGAATAATGACTTTTCACAGTCCATCTATAACGACAGGCTTCACACAAGCCCAAGTATAAAATCAGATCGTTTATTTAGGCCTCACGGCGCTTTTCTTGCGGGAATTCTTTTTTTCTCCCTCTCTCTCGATCTCTCTCGAATTCCCCGCCTTATTATTCAACATTTCTAACCGAACGATTGCGACGTGACCAGACGTCGTTCGGCGCGAGAAGCGAAAATCGATGCCGCGATGACGCGATTGACACCGAATGATAAGCATCATTCGTGCGCCTTGCCGGCGATGTCGCCGTGTGATAACAACCGGTCGCTTCCGACCGACTGGGATTTCACTTCGCTATAGAAAGCTTTTTTTTTCTTGGGATACGTATTTCACTCCGCGAGGTTTATTTTCTACGATTTTAATACGGCTATAAATATGAAGTATTATACGATTGTTAAAAAATTGATTTTATTTTGACGTTGGAGACCGAAGAACGAACATTTCACTTATACATACGTTGCAAACTTATCGACTCTTCCATTGAATATACGAAGAGAATTATAAACTTATGGCATAAATGATGAGGAATTGTAGTAGAAACCTAGTATTCATTGGGCGACATACGAATTTCGCAACCCCTTCTTGGTCGAGCGCTAGTTAATTATTCGAGTTTTGGAATTATCCCTATTCTCTCCCGCGGGAAAGATATAATCCGAGCTTTAACCCTAGCAGAACCAAGTTCTGATGTGTAACATGGCGAACTGAGGGTGAGGGCCATTTATCGTACAAAATTCGGGCATTAGTTAGGAAAACGTTGGCTCCGAATGAATTGAACGTTCCGTCATAAAAATAAAAGTCGATTTTATTCCGGAATATCTTACGTGACAAAATTTCTTTCGGTATCGATTACTCGATCGTACAAAATCCATAATTAATTTCCGTGCCATTCAGTTTTAGGTCAAGTAGAGAGAAGGAGAAGACGCGACGGGATTACGAATCCTCCCTTCAAAGAGCAGCGTTCGCGAACGAAAGAGGACGGAATTGTCGCAGAGCAATTAACGACGACGACGAGCGAAGCGGCGACGCAAAAACGGTGTTTGCTCGAGATCGAGATATCCGGCGCTTAAAGCGGCCATTAAAAGCTCATTACTCACGTCCGTCTATTAATTATTCGCGAGACCCAGCCGGACGTGGCGCGCGAAAGCGGAAGCTCTGGAAGATTTGTGCCGAACGTCGAAGTTGATCGAAAAATAACCTCGATGCAACTTACTGTGCTTTCAGGATAATAATGGGCCGGCTCCTTTTAGCCGCGCGTATTACGCTTAAAACCAAGTATTCATTCGAGTATGTATCTAGTCTGCCTTACTTGACGAAGAAAATTATATTTTGGAGAATATTGAATAGTCAATATCACGTAGAATTAGTGCCTCGACAATTTTTCCTCCAAAAATGGCCTACAAATTTCGCAAGAAATCATTCCACCGCGTCTCTATTCGCCAATTCAAGAAGACATTTTTAATAATTATTTTTTATCGAAAGAAGAGAGATACACATGTACAACAGCACAAATATATATTTAGTGCCTCGACAAATTTTGCGAGAAATCATGCTACGCGTTCTCGCTTAATCAATTTTGAAAGAACATTTTTGGAACAATACAAGTATGCTTGAGCGAAAAAAGGAAGATAAAAGTGACTTCAATGGTTTATAGTGCGAATATTAATTTTAATCGTTCTAATAATTATTCTTAATTGAAGAAGAAAAAGATTAATGTGAATTTAATAGTCTACGAATATATAATTAGCGCTTAAAATTTTTTTCCACACAAATGGCCTATAAATTTCGCAAATTACACTGCGTATTGTCTGTCCTCCAATTGAAGGAGGTACTCCTAATAATTATTCTCGATCGAAGACGAACGGTCATTCAGATTTAAATGTGTGTCGGCAAAAAAGTCATAAATTTGGAAGAATAACTTTGAAAAAAATATTGTTGAAGAATTATGCGAGAAACGGAACTAAATTCGCCCATCCTTGAAAACCTCACGGCATACTTGAAAACCTCATACCATACTTGAAAACCTCACACACAAAAGAAACCTATAATAAATCAACAAACCTAGAATAAACTAAGAACTTAAAGAATAGTATCTGAGAAAATATTTCCGCCTCAGGTTTAAAAAAAGCCAGAATAATCAAATTTTGTTAAAATTGCCAAGAGAAAACGCTTTCTATAACGTTCTCCAATAATGTAATTTCGTCTTTTGAGAGATTCGTGACTGACCCACAACAGCGGGGAGTCGCTCTTTCATCATGACATGGTGATTTATCTTTTCATGAAGGAAGAACAAGGACATTAAATTGTGGTATTTTCAATTTATTCATTTTGTGCTAGATTACTTGCCTGTATAAACCGGCCTGTATTAGGTGTTCTAATGCATTAGACGTCAGCGCATCATTGTTTGTTCCACGCTTAACGCCGTAGCAGGTTTTCAACGCGAAGACTCTAAAATCCACCCGTAGACTTGACTAACGCGGCCGCTCGCTAAACGACTTAACACGTGACCGACAATCATCTTAACAGCGAACACCGAACTCCACGTCGCGCGGTTTTCATTCGTCGGATAAAGAAGAGGCTCTCTGATCTACGAGACTAACCTATGAAATGTGAACAGTTTAGTCGATCGATACTATTCAAACATTAAAATACAAAAAATACATTGTATTATTTTAGTCTCATCTTTATAGTAACAAAAACATTCATATTTTTATTGATGAATATTTGTAGGTTAAAATATACAACGAATAAAACTTTAATTTTATCAAGACCGATCATGAATCTTTCAATTGTATCATTCAATATTCAGATTTGCAGGAACAACTCGCACAAATTTAAAGCGTGTGCTTTCGGGAAAAAAAAACAAGCATAAATATTTTTGTTTCGAATAAAATAATTACAATTAGAATAAATTTGTGAAGTAAAATTATTTTGTTTTGAAGTAAAAATGCACGAAACTCAGAAGCGTATTACGTAAGTTGCATCTTTTATATGCTACATCTGCTGTTCTCACCACGAAGTTTTTCACATTTCGAAGCATTCGTCCGTGAACGTTATCGCGCTATCAAGATAAGTATCCATCACCCAACCACACCAGCGTGCATAAAATTATAATATATGATACGCATCTTTTATGATTCAACTTTTTTCACGGCTTTCTAGGAATACTTTATTTAATAGAAGTGAACATTTCCGTTTCAAGCATAGGCGAATAAATTTATTTGAATTCGCCGTAGTATTCTTCGACAAATGAGAACAAAACTATTCGCTTCGCTTTATTTATACGAGTCGACATCGCGTAATACAAAACTTTCAATCAGCGATTCTTACTATTATCGATTATTCGTCACTTAACAAAATAAAAAGTAAAAACAAAAAAAAAAAACTAGCCTCAATGTTAAAATAAAAGTTAAATTGAATACATATTGTTTTCACGATATTTTTCCACATTCATTTCTCGTTCATTTAGAGAGAACGCTTATTCGTTCAAATAAATCGAAGTTATGAAGATTAACGTTAAGCTTAAAAATGAATTTTTTATTGTATATTTTTACTAATGATTGATCAGTATTTGTAGTCAGTATTAGATTGATCAGTATTTCTGTAATAAGATATCTCGACTCATATATTTGTAATCGCCAAATCGATTTCAATTTCATATTTATCGCTTATCGCTAAATGTACAGTGCGAATATAGAATCCCCTTGAATCAGTGAAGGTCAGATCCTCGGCTTCGCGTTTCTTGCGGGCCCATCCTCCCCCACCTAATGACGTAACTGACCCTGCATCCTCACGCGCACACACGTACATACGTATACACAGGCACACACATACGCGCGCGCATTCCCCTCGAAGCGTGAGCGGCACACAAGTTCGTTAAAACCTCTCTACAGTCCTAGAAAATTAATGAACGTTATAAAGAGCGACGTTGATGAGTTCGCTAAATTCTGACACTCGAGTCCCACCGCTCCTTGCCCCGGTTTCCGCCGCAATTCCGCCACGCAGCCCTTTCCCTACCGTTCAACCCTTTTTTTTTTTTTGCAGCTCTCGCGTCGCGGTCGCGTACAGGAAATGGAAACGGCGGCTGCGCCGCGTCATAGTCATCGCGGTCATTCTATATATCTCTCTCTTTCGCCGCCCGTCCTCCCTTTTTTTTTTCCCCCCTCACTGTCCCTCACGTTGTAATTCGCCCTCCTTTTCCCTCCCTCGTTCCCTCTCGCTCGCGCTGTGCTGTGTTCCCGGCGTGGCGCATCTCTAGAAACCCGAGAGAACGTCCGAGCCGGCTCGAGTTTCGTCTTTTTTGTCCCGCGCGCCCGCCCTTTTCAAAGCGCGCGCTCAAGGAGAAACGGACGTAGAGACGGGGGACCGTATTTCGTTCGTTACACGGTAACGATCGATCAACGTGACCGCACGACCGCACCGAGCGAACCGCGGTCGACAGAGAGAAAGAGAGAAAGAGAGAGAGAGATAGGTTAGAGCGCAGGGACCGGGGGCC